TACTTAGGCCAAGGGGTTGGCCTTGACTTCATAAGGGAGCCAGAAAAAGAAAGCAAGGAGGCCATCAGTTTAGGGAGCCTAGGAGTTAGGCAAACCCAAGGACTGGGCATAAGTTCTGCTCGGGGAGTCAGTAGTCGGGAGTAAGGCTAGGGACTGAGTTATAGATAAGGGTGGGAGGCACTTGGAAGTTTGTAAGGAGCAGCAGGCCAAAGGTAGTGTGCTAATGACTGAGAAGGAGTTTGGAGTAACAGACAGTCTCCAGACTGGTGTGCCAACATTGGCCAGAGTGTATTGGCCAAGGGAGATGTTAGGCACAATGTGACTAGGACGAGGTATGTTGGTTCTAGGATGGACATGGCCCATGAAATTAAGCAACAAAAGAAGCAACTGCAGGGGGAGCAGCACACCCTAGCAGAAGAGAGCGATTTCCTCTAGGAAGCACGAGTTTGGAGGGGGAGATTTGTGGGGTCCAGCCCCTTAACAAAGTAAACAAAACAAGTAGATTCAGCTTAATTTGCTTGTGCGACCAGAATAAAGCCTTTTGGCTTTTTATGGGTGAAATCAATTTGTGCAGCTGTAATGGCTGCTACAAATTGAAATGAGAGAATGAATGTGTTGCACGCAAACAACCTTTTTTGACAAGTGCAGATGGTGGACGGACGATGGAAGGCACTCTTCACCTATAAATAGAGGAGTTTTGGCATCCTCAAAGTGCATCAAGCCATAGAGAGAGATGTGAGCTAGGGAAAGAGAGTCTCTCAAACTTAAGAGAGAGAAAAAAAAAATTCTTTTGTATAGAAAGTGACTTTATTATAGCGAGGGTGATATAAAAGTAAGAATTCTTTTGTGTGTGAGTATTTCGAGTTGGCAAAAATATTCGAGAGTCCTGTGTAAAATTCTTTCCTATAGTGGTGATAATTTTTCTCCTCTTGGTCTGTGGTTTTTCCTGATTTAGGTTTTTTATGTGAATCTTAGTGTCTATATTTTACCCCATTCTAAATTTATTATGAGTGTATTTTTTATTTTATGAGTGTGCTGGTGTCAACAAGTGGTATCAAAGCACCGTGGGCCCTAATAACAAGCACCACCACCTATATATATATATATATATATATATCGGGCAAAAGGGAAAGGGAGGAGTGATCATTCAGTTTCGTTCATGCTTGAGGCATTCGGTTAAACAACAACTTGCTGAGCTGGAGATTCTCCCAGTCATGATCCTCTACGATCATCCCCCCAACAACCGGATGTTTCTTTCATCCAAAGGCCCAGCTTTCTTCCCCTCAAGCTACGTTGTTTTGTAGCTTCCCATTGGAGGAATTTCGGGCCGTAACACCTGCATCTGGCTCTCTTTAGATGTGTACAGCCTTGGGCTTCTATGTTTTTACTCAAACAAAAGCTGTCTTTCTCGTTTGAAACTAATGCTTATATTACTTTTCCTGGGCTATGCCATAATCATTCTTAGAGGTTTGGTTGTTGATATACATATGCACACGTGCACGGATTAAATAATAATGTAAGTAGGCATAGATATAAGGAACCTGCTATTGCTCCGTGAGAGAGAAAAGAATGTGTTTCTTTTTTTTTCTTTTTCTTTTTTAAATTGGATGAATCCTGTTAAGCGCTGAAAGACTTTATTTAAAAAAAAATGTTTTTTCTGGTTTGAACTACCCAGGCCTTCCCCATTTTTATATAGCTCATGCATCCTCCACCTATGCGTTTAGAATTGTCATGGATTTTGGGTATTTGTACATGATATGAAGGGTTGTATCTGATGACGTGTTTGATTGTGCGACTAGCAGATGCATCCTACAGTTTGGTTCTTGATAACTGAACTGATCGCTTAAAATATGTTGTACATTGTGGACAGGAAAACACATTGAAGCCTGGTGATGTGATTTAATGCTGAGAATGTGGTTATCGCATCTTGTACAAGAAGCGGACCCGCAGAAGTAGACTTTAATATAAATGGCCTCCTTTTTTAGGTTTACTATGTGCAGTTACATTAATGCTTTTCCATAGTGTGGTTGTGAATCTTCCATTATTTGCATCAAGTAACGGTTTAGTTGCAGTAGTATTGACTTCCTTGTTCTGTACTTTTTACATTTCTCTAGATTGGAGTGGTCTAGATCCCAAATTTTTGTGTAGGTGAACTACTATGCTTTGTGGTGTTGGAAAAACACCAATTTAAAATGTACTTTGTAATTTGAATTTGCTCTATACATAATTTTTTCCTCTGGTTAGCATGTCATTTGAGGTAGGAAGTTATACAAGGTTAGTCTGGTATCTTCAATGCACTGTTTAAATGAAATAATAAGCTTTGAGTGAGCATGATAAGTTTCATAAACTGTTTTTTCATGCAATTTAGAAATTGTGAAAGACTCATTTGCAAAAACTACAAGTATCCAAGTTTGTCGCAGTGGCTGTGATGGGAAAAAAATAAATCCTTGAGCATTTTGTCCTTGTCACAAGGAAAGACATGGCCATAGTCAAATGCAATTGCAATGTGAACTTGGGATTTTGATTCTTGTTAGTTAGCATCTCTATATCTACTCTTGCTATTATTCTTATTTGTTATAAATTTTATTTCTTTTGAAATTCCTTCTGGCGAGTATGATTTCTATGAATTAGGGCATATCAAAGGTACTTGATTTGCTTGCTTTTATGGATTTTCTTTTAGTTTGGTGCAAGTGTTTGGGATCATCAGTTAGTTGTCCCCCAGCATTAAGCCTTAGAGATTAAGATTGAGTTTTAAGACCATATTTTCCCCCCATTTAGTGAGATTGTTGTTCGTGTTATTACTTGAACTTTGGGATTTTGTCAATTCTGGAGAATAAGATTGTTGTCAAATTATGTGAAGTTCTATAAGTTATTGTACCATCGTGGAACTTGGTTTAATTAAACTAGTTTTTTATTGATTCCTTTTTTTTTTAAACTATGTGCATTTGAGTTGGATTACGTTGTGTATGTGGTGTTGTTATGCCTAGGTGGTTGTATTTTTATTTATTTGGCCTGAAAATCTGTTGTATCAGATTTTACTTTCGTGGACTGCATAGTAGTGATTGTGAGAACCTTGATAAAGAGCAAGGATTTTAAGAAGGGTGATTGTAACGTCCTATCCCATATCTGGTGTTCAGTGTGGGTCCATGTGGTGTACTAGCTCCAAAGAGATCACATCTAAACAACTTAGAAATTTGGGCTGGTGGCTTGATCATATCTCAGTCATTACAGGTGTAACTTGGATATGAGCTTGATCAGGCTTTCTTAAATGGTGTCCTTGAGATAGTGAGTTGTTAGAAAGAATTAAGTGAGCTTTGGAATTTCCTTGGCTGCAATTGCAATTATAGAGGTGCAACTGCTAATCTCAGATTCAAATGACTGTTCAATTAGGCTCATAATATACAAATATTTTGACTTCTCTAGTCTCGAACTTGGTTTAGTTCTATTTTTGATAATTTAGGAATTTATGAATCTTAAAGCATCTTCTTGAAGCAACAGTTTGTATTGTGAAATGTAATGTTATGTTTTTTTTTTTTCCCTACTGGATGTTTTGGATTGAAGAAGTGAGATTTGTTTGATCATCCTATTAATCCCCCCCCTCCCCCACTAATCTGTTGCTGGATATCTGGAATAGTGACTTTTAGACAATCTTGTTGTGAATGAAGGAAATCTATGTGAATTCGATTTTAGTTAGAAATCTGCGATGAAGTTGTAAATCATGCTTCTAATGTTAGATTTTTCTACTGGAGTTTTAGATTATGTCTTGTACCATTTGTTTTATTAATATTTTATCAACTGTTAGCCGTAGCTCTATATTAGTTACTTTTAAGTTCTTGTAGTGAATGCAAAAAAAATTGACTGACTCTGAGCCTTGGTTTCTTGCGAGGATCTGTGATGAAATTCATAAACTGTGCGGAGAGTTTTATTTGTATGGAGATATCATTATCTAGGAGACAGAACAAACATTTGTGTTTTTGGACATCTAGAATACTAATATGGAGGACCTGCCATTAATTCTTTGGCTCTCTTTTATGTGTTAAGCAAAAATTAGACCTTTGTTATTTTCCAGGGCCTTAAAAGTGTCACTTCTCAGTGATTTATTAGTGGACATACAACGCACATGATTTTTATTTATTAATATGGTTCATCATAGTAATTTCTTACTATTTTTCTGCTCTCATTTTATAACTTGGTTTTCCAAGTGTTGACATCGTTCTTTACTAGTAATATTTGCTGCAGTTATTCAGTATGAAGCACGCTGAAACTGTGAGGAAGGTTTCTGGGTGAAGTATTTGTTGAATAAGAGACTCGGTTGACTCTGTTGTTCTGTAAGCAGTTTTAATTTGTTATCACCTGTTATTAGTTGTAACCCATTCTCACCGTTAGGAATGCTCCTTGTGAGATATAGTGGCTTGTGTGGATAATTATACTGAAGAGTTGTTTCGCAATTAGGCTGTCAATTGTTCAATATGGGCGCTTTAGATCCTTCATGTTGAATTTATAGCCGTCAATAATATTCTCCTGTAAGATGGAATCTACGGTGGGATACGAGTCTCACGTCAATATGAGAGAGGACTGCACTGCCCTTAAAGTAACACCAAATAAATTTTGGTACAAAATGCATCTCTTTGATCGGTCTCAATTATAAAACCTTTTTCTATTTTCAAAGCTAGAAAACTATTTTACAAATAATATCGCTCAAATAACCTGTTTTTACCCCAATACAGTGATATTTTTTTTCCTAATTGAAAATGAAAAAAGCAAAAACCTCACATTAAAAGTTGGCATCGAATATGAACCAAGCGTCAAGCGTGCCATACATACATACATATATATATATATATATTTAACGTGTCAACAAAGAGGTTTTTAACCAATTTTATCATCCTTGGAAGCATACATCATATAGCACTGCACCACAGCTGTCATTATTTTCCTACCGTGTCAACAAAGCTAGGACATGTAAAAACAGAGCCGGAGGTTCGACCTGAGGGCGGCGCTCAGCCATGGAAGGTAGCGCCGAGCTCGATGCCCTTGCCACCGCAGCTGATGGGGGCGTCGTACTTGGAGAAGAGCCGGTAGGAAGAGACGAGGGAGAGGGCGGCATAGCAGATAGCCACCACGAAGGTCAAGGCTACTGCCGCCGTGGCCTTGCGGCAGAAGCCCCCAAAGGATCCGCAGGCTGCACTCCAGGTGACAGCCTCGTCGCCCTTGTACGCCAGGTACACCACCTCAGTCGACATAGCTCCCGCCGCCAGTATTGCGCACGTTAGAATCTGCACACCAATTAATAATCAGCCGAAATTAGTGGTTCAGCATGTGGGTGTTGAGCACGTTGTTCAATAACATCAATTTTGGTAATACAATGGTGAGATTTTCAAAATCTCAAAACAAAATTAACAGAATTTCATTATTAAATCTCGAGACCCGCAAAAATTATAGTTAAATTAACTATTTGAGGTGGGGTCTCATGCAATATAATATATATATATATATAATATCAGATTTTCGTAGTGTCTTTGGTAAAGCCTCGAGAATTGTCTTTTTTTGCATCTTTTTTTTTCCTTTTTGGGAGAGAGATGGAGAAAGAAAAAGGTGGCCGACGAAATACCTGGTCGAGCAGGAATAAGGTCCAGGCACGGGGCATGGATGAGGGGCGAGGCACCGCCGCTACCACCGCCGAGAGAAGGGAGTAACCGGCGCATATACCATTTGCTTGCACCAGGTACCTAAAATGAAATAAATAATAAATAATATATAAAAATAAATTTCCATTTCTTAACAATCAATCAGCATTCTCTTTATTTTTTTAAATTTATTGCTAAACTGTTAGGAATATACTTCAAATTAATAGGAATAAGTTTTAGAATATGAATTGAAGTGATGTTAATTGGTCAAAAGTTTTAGGAGAAACAACAACTTGGATAAGTAGACAAGGGCATTTACGTCAATTTACCTGAAAGCTCCAAGGTTGGAGTAGGAGATCGAACCAAAATCGTTAGTCTGGGCGTCCTCGAGCATGACCACAAGGGCCATAATGCAGAGCCCCATCGGCAGCAGCCGCAGCAGAGTCTCTGCCGTACGCACACCAGCGCTTCCGCCCGCCGTCTCCTCTTCCTCCGGGGATGCTATCCCCATCGGAGAAACTCCGGCCCCCACCACCGTCGCTCCACCTTTCTCTCTCTTGTCCCCCATTATTGAAGTTCACTTTCTCTCTGTCGTTTGTAAGTGTGATGATAAATATGCCTTTTTCTTAGTCGTGTAAAAAATGGGAGAGCGGTTGTCCATATAAGGAGGTGATGGAAGAAGAAGTGGTGTTAATGGGCTTCAGGTGAGGTTGGTGATCCATTAAATTGCCGTAAAAGAAGGCCACGCTTTTCAAGTGCATGCACGGATAAGACCCCTGCAGATACAGTATCTCCTCTCTCTCTGTCTGTCTCTCTTTCCCATGAATCACCCTCTCTCTTTCCCTCTCTCTCTGCAACTGATTTATCAACACGTATTTGGATTACCCTCTCTCTCTCTCTCTCTAATTGTGCTATCAACGGCTAAATGAAGACTCTTTCTTGACGTTTCTGTATTTCTGTGTCTTTTAAATTATATATATTTAACACAGGGAGAAAGATTAATCGGTTTCGATTTGTTTAAGATTTTTTGATTTTAGAAAATAAAAAAATCCATTTGGAATGTTGTACTTAGTTTTTTTTAGGGCTTTGAAACTCCACAGGGAAATATGTTTTTTGTGATAATAGAAAAATAACATTAATTATAACAAAAATACCTTTTTAAGGCAGTTGAAACGAGATTTTTGTTAAACAATTTTATATTAATTATGAAGATAATGAAATACAAATATTAAGTAATTTTAAAAATATTTTTAAAATGATAAATGACGTATTAGAACACTTATAATTAGTGTGATATAATTTGACTGCGCATGTGATTTTATACGACTACAAGATACCTCGAGATAAAAGTGGCAGGGTGAAAATTATATTATGTAAAGTTGGGTTTTAGAAAATAATAAAAGGTGCTTATGAGCTTTTAGGAATTATTTTTGCTTGAAAATAAAAATGATAACGTAAAAATTAATGCAACTTTTTAAAGATTTTTTATCTTAAAAAACTGAGAATAAAATAATAAAAAATAAAATACAAATACAGACGGCAGAAAAGACAATATATATATATATATATATATATAGAGAGAGAGAGAGAGAGAGAGAGACAGGGGAGGAGGGAGAGAAGATTCGTGGACCCTTCAATCTCTCACAAAAGAATTAATGCGAATCTGCAACATTTACATTATCGGTGGATGAATAAATGCTAGTGTCTCATTAATTTCTACAAAACGCTTGACTGCTTTTCTTTATTATTTTTTATTTTATTATAACACTTATGATACTCAGTCATTAATTTCATCTCCAACTGGGTGAAACGAGCAGATTTAATTATAAGTTATCTTTCACATTTTAATAAATATATTTTTTAAAAGAATAATTATGAATTTGTGATAAGTATTGCTGGAACAAATTCTTAACGGAGTAGTCTGATTGTGTGATCCACGTCTAATAAGAGATAGTCAGAGTGATAGGATAGAAATGGTAAAAGTTCAACGAGATGGTAAATGGTAAAATTACTTTTAATAAAAGTTGATTGAATTTAAAATTGTTTAAAAATTTAAATTTATTATCAAAAATAATGAATTATATATTGTTAAAAGGCTCGCAACGTTTATTTTTATTTGAAATTGGATTTGTACAAATTTAAATTTTATATTTTGAGATATGATAAAAATACTATGATATACTCGTTTTATCTATTGATAGTGTGACTCAGCAGAATAATCCACTTTCAAATATTATATCTATTAATATATAAGTTAAAAATACGCATATAACATATAAAATATATATTTCAAATAGCATATAACATATAAGTTAAAAATAATGAATTTAACCCAAAATTTTATTTCTACCATAAATCATATTTTAATATTTACAACTTATATTATGCAAATTTCAGAAATAACTTTTTAGAAAATAATGTATAAAATTGATATAATAAATTACTTTAATATAAAATAATATATAAGACAAATTATATATTAAAATAAAACTATTTGAGTCTAGTTTCATATAAATTGACTTTATTATTTTTTGACTTTTCTATAATAAAATATAAATAATTTACTATACATATATCTAATTTAACAGTTTCACATTTTAGCACGTATAGTGTATGTAGGTAAATAATAAATAAATATTATAATTTGTCCATATTGTCTACTATAAATATATACATATAACAATTTTAATTTTTTTTGTCATAAATAAAATAAATATGAAATTTTGAGACTAACAAGGAGTTCATGGACTTTATTTTTACAACAGTAGTACTATCAATAGAGTGAATTGTAATCCAAATTCGTTCTAAATTCGATTCAATTATTTAAGATTTTTAACCAATAAAAAATTTGACAAATATAATCTGATTATAAAAGTCCGTAATTTGAAATAAATAAAAAAATAAAAATTTTATCTGATCCAATCTATTAAAAATTTATATTCAAATATATACACACACATATATTTATTGTATATAGACAATATTGTATACTGGGTATTTGTGTGTATATATTAACACACACACACACATATATATTATATAAATAATATATAGAATATATAATATGATATAATGTTTTATATATAATATGTGTATATATAATATATCACAACATTAACTTGATTTATCTTATTTTAATTAAAAAATTATTTTTTCTTAAAATTAGAATTGCAAATATATTTTTATTTTTTATAAAAAACTAGATAGAAAATATATATATTGATGGATTAAACGTAATTGTTATATATTATCTATAAACTAATCTCAAATGTAATAGTTGTAGTGAATCAAATATAATTATATTATATTTCTAAATTCTAAAATTACTTTTTAGTTTATTTTAAAGAATTTCTTATTTTAATTTTAAATTATTTTTTAAAAATATAAAATAATATATGTATGATAAATTAACAATTCAGATTCGGATATTTGTGTCAGATATCAAAATTTATCTGGATTCAGGTATGGTAATATTAACGTATATTTTATAACATTTTCGAGTCAAATTTTGAATTCAAAATTTGATTTACCTTGATTTGGCTCAAATTTGATCTATTAACAATTCTATGCAAGAATATCAAGGATTGAAGTATAAAAAAGTATTGTAAACTTATATTAGACACGGTGCAATAGATGAATTAAATTATAATTATAAGTAAAAAATATGCATATTTAAATAAATATATCTTTTAAAAAACTAATAATGGACTCAATAAAAATTTTCTCCCATTTCAATATACATTTCTTTTTACTTTCTTTTTTCCTTTTTAAAAATATTTTTCGTTGGTTACTTTCTCTCTTGGTACCTATCTTTATTGCACCTTGAAAATTGAAGAACCATAAGTAATGGTGCCTGCATCAAGGATCAAAGAAGGAAAAAAATAAAAAAATAAAAAATTATATATATATATATATTTGTATGTATGTATGTATGTAAAAATTGAGGGAGCAACTTACTCATGATTGGTTTTCATCTTTTTTTTTTTTTCTTGGTGGTATAAACTTTTGAGGCTACCAAGAAGACCCTCAACATCACGTTTTTGTGCAATTAAGTCCTTAATTTTGAAATTTTTTGTAAGCCCCCAGACAATGTTACAAACATGAGTTAAACAAGCACAACCAATTTAATAATCTCAAACTATTGTTGCTTATCTAGTAAAATATGTTAGGTTGAAATATGTGGCAAAATTTTAAAAGCCAACGTAATTTTTTCCTATCGTATTTAAGATTTCGTATTAAATAAAAAAATTTTAACAGTTGATGTAACAGTATATCTTTTATATATAGATACATATATAAATATATATTTATACATATAGAAAGTCAAGAATTAAATGTTCCGGCGTGGAGATTACTTTTCTCTTGTGAGAATTTCATTGTGATTTTATTTTTTTAATTTCTTATAACAATTTTTTATGATACTCTATTTGATATAGTTTATATACAAGTGCAAAGAAGAGAAAATAATACAAACTCTATACTAATTTATCTGTCTCCTTTTTTCGTCATTTCTCTTAAAAAAGGATAAAGATAACATCATTATCATGTCCACCACTAAAAGTTTAGGAATATGATTGTATAAAAGTTGCATTATATAATAATTGCACAAGTTAAAAATATTTACAAAAAACAAATGATAAACAATTTACATAGCATTTTGTTAGTCTTTAGAATAAATACTACTTAAATTTTCATATAAAACCAACATTCACACACACACACACACACATATTGTACTAAATTAACAGGGTTCTACTAATTCTTATAATTGGTATGTATTACATAATATATACCATATACTTCAATATATTTCACAATATATGTGGATGCTGCAAGACAAACACACACACACACACACACACACATATAACAGCATATTTATTAACAAGTACGGTAACATATTCAATTTTTGTTAGCTCCAACGTCCCATCACTGGGTTAAATATGCATGAAGTTTGGATCGTATTCACCAACCTTTCGCCTTTTCTAGTATTTCTTCTAGCTATGTGGACCGGAAGCAGAATACATGGCCTAAATAATTGCAGAAATTAAACACGTGATCCACCTACATATGGTAGGTCCTGTTCGGCTGCCTGAGCTGTACGAGTCATATACAGCAGAAGCCAGTGAGATGAGCGTATTCCTCCATTTCATCTGATGACTTCACCAAAATCACCAGAGCAATCTACAGATTGATTATCTTGGTAATGCCAATTTTACACACAGATTCAAAAGAGCAGTAATAAGCTGCCAATAACCTGACTTAACAGAGATACCGCTATCTGGAAGACATTCACAGAAAAGAAAGAAAAGAAAAGAAAAGAAAAGAAAAGTAAAGAACAGAAACAAGCAGGAAGGAGAAAAGCAGGCGTTGGTTCTCATGCTGCTGCCTCAGATGATTATTCAGGAATCCTAAGACCTTGGTTTATCTCTTAATCTTTTTCTGTTGTAAAATACCCTCTAAAGCTACAGGGGCAAGTCTATCTGACCAAGCGACAAGAAAAGTGCCAGGAATAACTCGAATAGATTTATCTGGTTCAGGGCACATCATTCAGCAACTAGGACAAGATTATGATCAAACCCAGCCACAGCTTGCAAAACTTCAGAACCTTCCAAATACTCAACCAAGTTGGGTTCATTTGCATCAATAGAACTACCTAACCCGAGCCTCCCATTTCTACCACTTCCCCACACCCATACCTCCTTTTTAGATGTCAAAGCAATGGAATGTGCTCGGCCTCCTGACACTGAAATAGGGGTTTCCCCTGCCAACCCCTCCACCACCAATGGGAGGTTCTCTGGGCCTTCCCTCCCTAGTTGAGAACTCTGGTTCCATCCCCATGAGACAATGCCTGTGGTATCTTTGGTGCCCTCTGATTTTGCAATTTGGCATATGGCCAAAGAATGTCCAAGCCCGCATGCAATAGAAACTGGATGGAAATTCACATCAACTGGCTGAAGTCCAAGGTCTGGAGTTGATCGGCCAAGCTGGCTGTATATGTTGCTTCCACAGCTTAAGAGGGTGCCATCACCTGAAACAGAATAAGAATTTGCATAACACAACTACAAACAATTTACATAATATACTTCCATGAATTTTGATAATTAGCACTTCCGACAAACAAAGAACTTGCACAACACAACTATGACATGTGACATAATATACATGGCTATGGATTTTGATAATTAGCACTTACGACAAAGAACTAAGGAATGATCAAGCCCGCATGCAACATCCAAAACTTCAAAATCAGCAAGCTCTTTGATTAAACTGGGCTCCCATATAATAGGCATATCTTTTTCCTTCTCCATTCCTTCCAATACCAACTTTTCAGAAGCTTCTAGAACTGAATTCGAGAGTTCTGTTGCTTTCTGCATGTTGTTACTTGAATCCAGTGGAGAGGGATCAAATTGGTTTCCCATCTGTCCTAATCTGCCATCAGCTGAATAACCCCAGCCATATAACTTTCCTTCCCTAGTATGTGCTATAGCATGTCCCCAACCAAGTGCCACCTGTCAAACAAAGATGATCACATGGATCTGCTCCTCCTAAGTTCTATCAGATGAGCGACATCAATTCTTCTATAGAAAATTCATTCAATGCATATGAAATTAATAGCTAAGCAAAGATCAACTGCAACTTCAATATGAGCTCTGTATAACACACTTTCTACGTTAAGCATGATTTGGGAACCACCTTAACTATATCTTCACCTGCAAGAGCTTCAACTCTGGAAGGAGAAACAGCTTCAGTGATTCCTTTTCCGAGGCCTAGCTGTCCACGTTTCGACTTCCCCCATACCCACAAGGAACCATCATCTGCAATTGCTGCAGATATGACGCCAGATGCAAATGTAGCCCGGATTTGTACGTGATCCAACCCATCTACTCTCTGGGGTTCATTCCACGATTCTCTGGCACAACCAAGGGAAAAAAATCAGTAACTACCTTGAAACAATTCAAAGACTCTTCCTGACAAGAAACTGCTGCAAGCATATTAGAAGTCTTGATATCTATACCAACTCTGCACTCAAGTGAACAATATAAAGGCTTCTATCCAAGAACTAGGAACGAAGCACTCCATTCACTGACCATCACCAAGATTAAAATAAATACAGTAATTAGTTTGGACATTAAAGTAGAAGAATTACCAAGAGTAACATAAAAAAGGCAATATGAAATACAATCGCCTTTTCTTTTTTGGAGTTTCTACTAGTTCATATAAATGTTTCATATTTCCATTAATCCAAATATGCATTTATTTTGAAGTGCCATATTATGCAAGAGAACAGAAGGAAGGAAGTAGGTTGTTCTCTCTCTCTATCTTCCAGGTTTCAGTTGCAGTAATTAGACCATTTTAATTTAATTCAGTTTATCAGAGATAAAAATATATTTGCCATGTAGATTGTTGTATTTCAGTGAAACTTCAATCTGCTTACCTATTCTCAGTCTGAAAGTCATGAATATGTAAACAGCACAATAGAAAAGAAGCCTTGTATTCATGTATTATTTGGAACATGATGTCACTGATACATAATAACATAGGAAAACTGCTGGTGAAAATGCTTTTGCCATTGACATGACACATATACAAAAAGTAAAAGCAGGTTGCTTCAAAATTTCTGAGAGGCATGAAAGATGCTGCTATAGACCAGGACATATAAAGGTAGTGGTGACTTTTGTGGTGAGATAACATCAGTAGGTAAGAGATGTAAATTTAATAGAGTAGTAAAAACACTAAGCACGTGAAAAGCACCAAACTTGAAGACCAGACAGATTATTCGCTGGAGGAGATTCAGGGCAACAAGAGCAGCCAACATATGAAGTATTTTGGACAACAGTTAAAAGAAGACTCAACAGCTTCAAAGATGCTAACCTCAAAATAGTTACATCAGCTATTTGGAAAGCCTTTTTAGATTGAGCTATGAGTTTCATTGAAGTGGTACGGCTATATTAGCGCACCTAGTGAACCAAAAGGATTATCCAGACAAAAAATGAAGAATTCGTGTACGGAATTACCAGGCACATACGTAAAATAACCCTCTGAACCTCCTCAAAGCTCACAACAGCTCCCCATTGAAACTTACAGTATCTCATTAGCTTCCTATAATATCTATTCTTTTAAACTAGGTAATCTCTATTCCAAAGCTGGTAGCTTTTAAAATAGAATATTGATATCAAAATCTGTATTATTCCTTTACTAAAATTATTGTAAAAGGAGAAATCTTCTAAATTCGACAGACATAGAGCATCAGCAGCAGCACGCGTCTAGGTACAACTACAAGATCAGTGGCACCTAAACTAAAGATAAACAGGTAACAACAATAGTATGGTTTAAAAGGTTATGATGATTATCCAAACTATGCCGTATCATACTTAGTGAATAGCAGTATCACCAACTGGATGACATTACTGGTCTAATGTCTAAAACAACGTAGCAGTAACATCAAACGTTACGCATAAAAGCTACATACACACAGCAGTCAACTGCAATCAAAAGAATGATTGCGCTTATACACCTATTCATCCAACTATACGAGTTACAGAGGGAGAAAGAGAGAGACCTTGGAGCGAGAAGGCCGCGACCAAGCTGCGCCTCCTGGTTGCGTCCCCAAGCCCAGACCTCTCCGAGAGAAGTAACGGCGAGAGAGTGGTAGTGGCCGGCGGTTATACTGGAGACGTCGGAGGGGATGCCGTGAACGGGCGTGGGCTCGTACGCGTCGCCGCCGGAACATGCGACGGAGGCCGGCAATCCCAGCGCCCCCTGGCTTCCGTCGCCGAAGCTCATGACCACCGTGTGTTTGCTTCTAATCCATCTGCTAAAAGCTCGAAAGGTTCTCTCATCCTTCAGCAATCGACGCATCAGCTAGCGAATCACTCAGTACCGAGAGATCAGCCGAGCAGAAACTGCGATGGTGCGAATCCAAGATAACTCCAGTGCCTTTCTCGGCTGGCCCTTTCCTTTGGGCTTGGCGTCGGGTTGGGATATACGATCCCGCCCGAGTAACCGGGTGATCTGGTTCTGGGCCTCCGATCAAACCCAAATGTAGAAACCTTGGGCATTTCACGGCCTATAAATTTAGGAAATTAAAAAAAAAGGAAATTCAAATTAAAAATAAAAAATTTTTTTAAAATAACGTATTTTTGATAAATAATAATTATTATAATAAATAAAATAAACATATATCAAAATTCATAATTTTCTAAATAAAATAAAAAAATCTATTAGTTTTAAAAATTAAAAAAATTTTCTAGTCGGCTTAAGCTTTTTAATCATTTTCTAATTTAAAATTTTGACAGAAAGATCTGGATCACATACTTACCAGATGGAGAGATCCAAATCCCCCTTCCGCAAGCCGACCCGATCAATTCGATCCACCACGTTATAAGCCCATTAACTGCTAACCCAAGGTCACTCGACGGCGAATCTAAATATAACCCGAGTTAAGGCGACCATCCACCGGAGCATCAATTCAGGAAAATAGACTGGTACGGCTTTTATACAAATATCAGACCCGCAAAGAGTGCATGTTCTTTCTTCCGTCTCCATCTTACCACCCTCGATCTGCGAACGAACCGATCCGGATCGAACCGGACTGTTACTGAGCTGAGAGATCTGCTTCTGGTGCGTCTTCACTCCCTTACTTTTTCTCTATTGTGGTCTATACATGCGTAGATCTGTGAAACACACACTGGCCAGTTCACGTTTTTTATCCATTGAATAGTTTTTGTTGTTTATTCGATGAATGAATTGTGTGCAAGTTCGTTCTTCGATTTGCTCGGATAGTTTGTTTCTGGTGCTTTTCATTTTTTTTTTCGGTGGAGGGCGGAATTGTCTTCAGGTCTTCGATCCGTCTTCTGTCAGTATTCTCTGCCCTTGATTTTGATTGATGGAGGTTAAATAGTCATTATTTGAAGGTTGCTTATTTGTCAGTTAATGTTCTACTTAGTTCTTATTCTTGTCATCCCTATACAGCTTTATCTGAAGTAAAAATTTGCTCGTGTGTGTATGCTTGCTTGTAATTACGCATCTGTAGATATATTGGACACAGGATCGATAAATCTGAAAATTACAAGGGTGGAACGGATAATGGATGAATGATGGATGTGCAAGGTAGACCACAAGATTCAGAAACAAAACCAGTTAAATGCTTAGCTTGAATGACTTAAGAGTTTGGTTGAATGATGGTTCTTTCTAAAGTTAAATTAGATCTAGCCTTATCCCTAGTGGTGTTCTAAAGGTTAAGGACCAAAATAATTAACTTCTAAGTTGAACTAGCAATAATCCAAGTGATGTGCTTGCAAATCATTATCCAAATATCAATCCCTAGTCTAGTGTTGTGCTATGATTTAGAAATAAATTTGAGACTTTGATTTAGAGCAGACAACCAAATTCATCCAAACAATGGTTCAAAAAGCACAATTTAATCAAGCATTCAATCACAAACTTGCTTAGACAAAACAAAGTAGTAAATTGAAGTTAAGATAAAAGAAAGAATAAAGAATCTTCTCAATAATGCCTTCTTCAATCCATGTAATAGCCTTAGACTCCTAGATGGATGTGTTGCCGAAGTCCTCAATTCTTCATTTCACTTCCTTTGATGGGTAACCTGTGAAACTATTGAAGCCTATTCCAACTCTTTCCTTTGATGCGGTAGCTTAGAGTTAAGTGTCTCTTTTCTTCCTTCAGTCTTGCTTTGGTTCTCCTTTTTCTTGCTTGTGAATTACTTGCTTCAATGTGAATGTGTTTGGTGGTCAGAGACATGAAGAGAAGATGCTTACTAGGTTTGTTGATGTGTATGTTGTGGACGAATGTGTGCAAGAGAGAGCTGGCCGCCCTCCTTCCTTGTGGGACGAGTTTGGATGGCAGATTTTTTCTTGAGAGTTGCAGAAATAATATATATATATATATATATATAAGGTGTGGATGAAGGGTTGTACTCCAGGTTATACATATGTAGGTGCATGGAGGAGTTGTACATGGAGACTTGTTGCTAGGGAAAATTGCTGAAAAGCTTAAATATGAGGATGACATATGGGTTGTAATCTCAGCAGAAATAATAGATGATGCATGAGATGATTGTACTAGGCTATTGGCAGCTTCAAAGAGTGCAAAAGACGGCTAGGGTTAGGCTGGAATAGCAGCAATAAACCTCCAAAATTTGGTGGCCAAGAGAGCTCTTGAAAGATCAAATATTTTGTTTTCAAATTCAAGTTTTCTAAACTGGCAAAGAGATATCTCCTTTGACTCTATGACCAAGAAAATAAGAAACCATCCTTAAGAGCTGTAACAGACCCTCTCTTACAGGTGCAAACCAGCCTGAATAAACTCCATTAAGGCTTCTCTCATCTCATCTGGATGAGCTTAAGACCGATCTGCTAGGTGAGAAAGATGAAAATCTGGGCTTATCTTTGGGGGTCAATCAGCCAATCTGAGCTTTGTAGCACAAGACTCCATACTGAAAATCTGAAGATCTGACTGTAATTGGTGCTGCAGCACTAAGCTCCCTGAAAAATTACAGACTTGAGGGCACTGCAACTCCAGTTTTCATGCTGAGCGCTGGGCTTTCTGTCCAAATTTCAACACTTGGCCATTCTATGTACCTTTTTTCTCTCTTTTTCTCAACTGACTTGCGAACCTATTAAACAACAAAATGACACTCCAAGAAAAAAGTTCTTGGCAAGAATTAAGCAAAATAATCCTATAAACTTAGCAACAAATTAGGTTAAAATATGGTTTATCAATGCTGCTGGGAATTTTTTTTTTTTTTTTTGGTCTTGTTTTTCTGAAACAGGATTATTTCAATCCAGGTATGTTATAAACCTTGTTTTACCATGGATTATACATATGACCATATCATCTTGTATTGATCTGCAACAGATAATGTGGGAGTTAGAAGTAGTAAGCTTTTCTTTAATTCTTTTGTTGAATCTTTGGTTTATGTTATAACATGTGCACATGCATGTATTTATGTGTATGTTGCAAACATGGAGGAAGGATGCCAAAGAGTGACTTGAAATTTTGACTTCTGCAGATTTAATGTTGGATAAGTCTGTGTTAATTATAGTTTGAAGGATCTGTTGTTGTCCTTATCTCAAAGTTGATGGCTTATTCATTGATTCCAAAAAGGGCGTTTGGGGAAGTTTTCGTATGCTTGGTGCTTGTTTTGCATAGCTGCAATGGGTTTTATCTTCCTGGAAACTATATGCATACATATTCAAATGGTGAAGAAATTTTTGCCAAGGTTAATTCATTAACCTCTATTGAAACTGAGCTTCCCTTCAGCTATTACAGTCTTCCTTATTGCAAACCCCTCCAGGGAATAAAGAAAAGTGCTGAAAATCTTGGAGAACTCCTGATGGGAGATCAAATTGACAACTCTCCCTATCGTTTTCGGATGAATGTCAATGAATCTACATTCCTTTGCATTACGAGTCCATTGAGTGAGCATGAGGTGAAGCTCTTGAAGCAGAGAACTCATGACCTGTACCAGGTAAATATGATTTTGGATAATTTGCCTGCCATGAGATATTCTACACAGAATGGAGTTAAAATTCAATGGACTGGATTTCCTGTTGGGTATTCTCCTCCAAATAGTGAGAAAGATTATATCATCAATCATCTCAAATTCAAGGTGTTGGTTCATGAATATGAAGGGTCTGGTGTACAGATACTTGGTACTGGGGAAGAGGGTATGGGTGTAATTACAGATGCTACTGACAAGAAAAAGGCTTCTGGATATGAGATAGTTGGTTTTGAGGTTTTCCCCTGCAGTGTCAAACACAATCCTGATGAAATGTCTAAACTCCACATGTATGACAAGGTTGAAGTGAGCTGCCCTATGGAACTTGACAAGTATCAGATAATAAGAGAGCAAGAAAGAGTGGCATTTACTTATGAGGTTGTATTTGAAAAGAGCAATATTAGGTGGGCAACTCGATGGGATGCTTACCTGAAGATGCAAGGTGCTCGAGTGCACTGGTTCTCCATCCTAAACTCACTAATGGTGATCTTTTTCTTAGCTGGTATTGTATTTGTTATATTTTTAAGGACAGTGAGAAGAGATCTGACAAGATATGAAGAATTGGATAAAGAAGCTCAAGCACAGATGAATGAAGAGCTTTCAGGCTGGAAGCTTGTTGTGGGTGATGTGTTCAGAGAACCAAATCACTCAAAGCTACTCTGTGTCATGGTTGGAGACGGGGTTCAGATTACTGGAATGGCTATTGTTACCATTGTATTTGCTGCCTTGGGTTTCATGTCACCAGCTTCTAGGGGAATGTTGTTAACTGGTATGATAATTCTTTATCTTTTCCTGGGGACTGCTGCGGGTTATGCTGGTGTACGATTGTGGAGAACAATCAAGGGGACTTCAGATGGGTGGAGGTCAGTTGCCTGGTCAGTTGCATGCTTTTTCCCAGGAATTATTTTTGTTATTCTCACTGTGCTGAATTTCATTCTCTGGGGAAGCAAGAGCACGGGTGCAATTCCAATTTCTTTGTATTTTGTCCTCCTTTCCCTCTGGTTTTGCATTTCTGTACCACTCACCCTTTTGGGAGGTTTCTTAGGAACACGGACCGAGCCTATCCAATTCCCTGTAAGAACTAACCAGATACCAAGAGAAATTCCTGCACGAAAATATCCATCATGGCTTCTAGTTCTTGGGGCTGGTACCCTTCCATTTGGAACCCTATTCATTGAGCTTTTCTTCATCCTTTCTAGCATATGGCTTGGGAGGTTCTATTATGTCTTTGGATTCCTGCTTGTCGTCCTCTTATTACTGGTCATTGTATGCGCTGAAGTCTCTGTGGTCCTGACGTACATGCATTTGTGTGTTGAGGATTGGATGTGGTGGTGGAAAGCATTTTATGCTTCGGGTTCTGTTGCTCTTTATGTGTTCCTTTACTCAATCAACTACCTGGTTTTTGATCTTCAGAGCTTGAGTGGGCCTGTATCTGCTATACTTTATCTTGGCTATTCGCTGATCATGGCCATTGCAATCATGTTGTCTACTGGCACCATCGGCTTCCTAACATCATTCTATTTTGTCCATTACCTTTTCTCATCAGTGAAGATTGATTGAGAAGCTACATTTGCTAATCATCACTGGTTTCTCGAAGTCTCCTGATGTATGGGTGGAGAGACCAATTCAATATCTACTTTGTGCCAAATTTATGAGGCCACATGTTTGCATCGCATCATATTGAAAGGCTAGATTTTCTTTGTTTCGTAGTTACTAAGCTTGATAGTATTGTCATGATATTTTTGAAGTTGTGGATTTAGCTGTTTCATAGCTCAGTTATTTTGCCATCTTTATCAGATCATATGCTTTTGCTTGTTAAAGTAGTTGTAATCGATTCTATCAGTTAAGCCAAAGGTGGTTTACATCTAATATTTATTGTTGTTTGCTGACTGTGTGCTGCAATCCTGTGCTTGTCTTTAAAACTCCAGTCCTTACAAAATCTGCCTGGTGAACTTGTGGGTGTTTGGTTCCAAGGAAGACAGGATTCTGGGTCTAACAATTACTACGCCCCCTCCGCTCTTTGACTGACTTTGGACTGAAATCCTCGTGCTCGAGGCACCGGATTGACCAGGGCTATTGAATCACAAGTTTAGAATTTTGGATACTTTTATATACTGATTATATTAGCCGCATAATTGGACTGAGGAGGTTTCATGGGAATGCATGGCGTTCTCATTTTCTTCTTCTTCTTTTTTCTTTTTTTTTAATGGGTGGAGGCACGAGAGGACACAAGAAATAAACCAAAGGGCACGGGTGGGTACGCAGCTGCAACCCGACGACAGTTGGGAGGCCGCGCCCGTCCTTCCCCTGAATATTGTGTATTTTTTTTTTTTGGGGACCCTTTTCTGGCTGAAACTAATGGAGACCTCAAATGCTAAACCTTTTAGTTTTCATTTTATGTTAACTAAAAATGTAATTAATAATTTTTCAAATTTATAATACTCAGTCAACATTTTTTTTTTTTTTTTTTTTTTACTTCTAGTAATTTTTTTGTCGCTTATTTACTTTTTTAATTGAACGAATATGATTAAATAATACATGTCCGCACACCTTTAATAATATTAGGTGTAGTTCTATTTTTTATATTATATATTTATATATTTTAAATTTGTATGCTGTGAAAAATGATATTATTCATGAATTATATATCTCATGGCGAATAATGATTTATCAAAAAAAAAAAAAAGAGTCACCTCCGGCATATATGAGATTGTCAAATTTTTGAGTGTTTCACCATTCAATCTTTTTCTTTGAATAAAAATTTCTATGGCTTATTCTACCTAACGGTCATTAGCTGATTTGGAAAAACAAATTTAATTACTATTAATAAGTAAATTATTAATTTGTTAGTTATTTCTAAGAGATGGTAATGGGAACACGAACAGTTAGAATTTTCAGTGCTTATAAGAATTGACCAATATAGCACCCTTAAATCTTTTTTTTTTTTAATTAAAAAATAGTGGTAAATAATTAAAAAGATAAACAAAATAATGTGGCAAATACATTTGTTAGCCAGTCCAAGAACCAACTCTCTCTCATATTACTTGAGTCTTGTACACAAATCTCTTGGGCTCTCTCTCTCTCTCTCTCTCTATATATATATATATATATATAATTTTTGACAATTCTTCAAAAAGAAAACTTTCTATTTATTTATTTAACGATTATTGTGAACCACAAAGTTCAAGACAAACTTCAAATGCTTACCTGGAAAATGATTTGAAATTTATAAATTTTAAATTATCTTTTCTAATGTACTTAGCTTAGTCATTCTTGTGATGACATTCTGGTGAAAAAATAAAAAGTAAAAAATATTCTCTTCATTTTAGATTTATTTAAATAATATTTAATCACATTCTTATTGTGAAAAAATACTTTTTTCTTTTAATTAACTGTTAACTAACAGTTGTTTAACGACTTTATTAAAAAAGACGTGAGAATAATTCAATTTCACGTAATATAGTTAACTATTTAATTAAAAACTAAAAGACTATTTTCTTCACTTATTTAAATTTATTATTTTTAATTTAAAAAATAAAAAAATCATATTTTTAATTATTTAATTTCATTATTTTTATTTTTTAAATAATTTTTATTTTACATTTATTTGGTCTTATTTTAACATTAAAATAAAATTAAAAATATAAAATATAAATATTTAAAAATTTTAAAAATAATAAAATTAAATTATTAAAAGTTATATTTTTATTATATTTTAAATTAAAATAATAAATTTAAAAAATAATTTTTAAGTGAATCAAATAATATTTTATTTTTTAATTAAATTATAATTAAAATATGTGAAATTATGTTCTCCTTACATTTTTTTTAACAAAACTATTAAATAACAATTAATCAAAAATTAATTAAATAAAAAAATATTTTATTGTGATAAAAATAAAGTTAAGTATCGTAAATAAATCTGCAAAGGCTAAAGTATTTTTTACTTAAAAATAAAATACAGATAACCCGTTTCGGAAATGGATCCGGGCCCAAGTCCCGGGCGTACTTTTGAATTCGGGCATCCGAATTGTTTATCATCGATGCCCAGCCACCGACCGTAATTTTTCAAAACTAGCCGTTACCATTATCTGCCCCCCACCGGCCGCAACACGCTCTTCTTTTGGCTCGCCTCTCAAAGAAGGATAAAATACATAATGGTCTCCCAACTATACAAGGATTCTCATTTTGGCCACCCGCCTGCGTAAAAATTTCAATTAGGTACTCGAAATTTTAAAATTGGCTCAATCTCATCACTTTGATTAAATCTGCATGATTAAAACTTAAAGTTTAGATACTTGGGTGTCCTATCATGCGGTGATGGCATGCAATTATGTGGCAATCTTTTCTTAAACAAGAAAAGGTAAATTTAATTTAATTTTTATAAAAAAAACTAATATTTCAAATGTTCTTCTTATCTAATTTTTTTATTCTCCTTTTTTACAAGTAATGATAGAAGTCTTAAACGAAAAAAGTATGGTATTTTGACCATCATACGTGACTTTACTTTCTTAATTTTATATGATAATGTAATTCTCAACAATAAGGGTGAAGCAGTTTATACATTAAAATTTTATTATTGTATAAATGAAAAAAATAAAAATGAAAAAAAAAGAGGAGAGAGATAAATAGAGAAGAAGAGATGTTATTGCAAAATCTATTCTATATATATATATATATATATATTAACTTCTCTTTTAATTGATTTCCACTTGTGCTCTTTATAATTTTCAATATGTAATATCAATGGTATTTTAAAGTGTACACTCTACGTAAGATTTTGATCAATTATTTAAATTAAATCCATATTCAACAATGCAAATAAAATTCTCTAAATTAGCTATTCTCTCACACTTTCACTTACTCCTCAAAAATCTCAATTACAAATTTATCTCTCCCTATCTCTCTTTTGCTCTCCATTATAAGTTCATTATAATTGATTTTACTAATTTGATTTTTTTTTTTTTGCAAATTAGAAAATTTATGAAGAATAATTTTATTCAAGTATAGTTTCCAGACTAAGAACAAGAATCAAAATTTATAAGGTGACTTTCTACAGGCAACCATTTCTTTCTTAGAGCACCAAAGGACAAGTTTGTGGGCAATAATGACAAGTGGGGGTGGAAGTAGTGATAAAAGGTGAGATTTTACAAGAAAGTATAGAGTGGGTCTAAAGATAATTAAGGATTAATTTTTTATTTTTTGAATAATTTACTAAGTTTGTTTGATTTTTATGGACCAGATTAATGACTTGTGGCATGACGCTTGGGCAATCTAACTTCGGTTTTTAATCAGAGCCGGTAGGAGTGATCATATTGAGAATTTTTGAAAGTCTAGTGGCCCATCTGAAATGTTTTTTAGTCGGATGCCCAAATTGACAATGCCAAATAGTGCGGTGACTATTTGTATAATTTAGCCCACAAAGAAAGCTGAAGTTTTGACACCAGCTCTCCCTCTCTGACGAAGCACTTAATTAACCTCTTTCTCTCTCTCTCTCTCTCTCCTCTCTCTCTCTCTCTCTCTCTCTCTCCCCAAGAAGGCTCAAAACACCTGCGCTCTCTCTCTCTCTCTCTCCAAGAAAGCTCAACACATCAGCGCTCTCTCTGTCTCTCTTCAGCAGAATCCCTGTAAAGATGTTCACGGAGGGCCTAGATGAAAGCGCAATCAACTGGATCAAGCAGGTATCCGAAACAGTCTCAATTCTTCCCATTCAGTTTTCTTGGTAATTTGTATGCCAACATGTAAGATTAATCCTCTTTCAATTATTGGACATGTTTCTAGATATCCACGTGTACATATACATTCATTTTGAAACTTGACCCTGCAGGGAACGGAGGCAGAACCACTTCAGGCTCGATCGCCGTTAACTGAGAAAGTTGAACATGAATTTCCCATACCCAGATCTCCTCTTGCATTCAGTAGCTCTAATCTCATGTCTTCCCATGTCCTGCCTCCCTTGAAATTCCATTCTGGCCTACTTGCTCCTCACAACACGGTTGCTCTGACCGACGAAGATGATGGCAGTGATGACGACGAGGAAAGCGTGGCTTCAGTTCCAGACGATTTGGGCGGGAATTACTCAGATGAAGGACTGCGATGTAGTGACATTGAGGCTCTGGAAAACCCTGTTGAGAAGTGCTATGACGACGAATTTTTCCGATCAGAATCAATCACTACCTTCAAGCAAAGTACAAATTTTAAATTGGAGAGTCGACACCGGTCGACTTTGAATAAAGGGTCGTTGATGGAGGATCTCCGGGTGGAAGTTCCACAGAACTACAGAAGGTTTACCGACGGTCCAGTGTGGTTAGGGAATGGTTCAAACCAAAATGTTGTATCCGGAGGTAGCTGTCGACTTCGTGAAAGAGTTCAGCTGCAGAACGCATATGTAACGCTTGACTCTGCTTCTCAGTGAACTGTCATTTTCGAAGACAAGAGCAAAGGGCTTTTTAGATTGGGATTTAATTGATTTTGATCATGATTGCAGGGTACTACAACTAAAAACAGTGTGCAGAGTGATGTAGCAGATTTGGGAACTCCTAGTGCGCCTCCAATTTTAGATATAGGTAGAGAAGGAAACAACTGTGGAGCTGAAAGTGATCCAAAAGAAGATTCTGAAGGTTTAACTGAAATGAATAGAAGCACAGATGGGACACGCATGTCTAGAGAATCATTAGACGGTTTTTGTGCCAATCAAGAGGTTGCTTCCACTTGCAGAGTACAGTTCTCGGAAGATGAACTTGTTGAGAGGTATAATAAGTCCTTAGTTCAAGTATTTTTGTGTCCTTAAACTACGTCTTTACTTGTTTCTGCTTTAAAGATCGCATATTGCCACTGTGTCTCTTGTACAGGGAGAATAGAACAGCATCCGGGATAGCAGAAGTACCTTCTAGTTACTGGCAACCCAGTTCATTTGATAATTCACCTTCTTATAACATCAGGTTATAATTTTTTATGTTCTTTTCTTCTTGCCATTTTCCTTTGTCTGGTTTTTTTAATTTAGCTGCAAGGACCAGACTTGGTGATTGCCCATTTTAGTAGCTTTTGAATCAAATCTAGCATGTAACTTTGTCAAGCTTGAAAACGACTTCCTGGGATCTAAAGGACCATGCAGATGTCCATAGCCCAGAATAGCCCAATGGGTCTGTGCAACCATCTTCTATCAATTGGCACTAAGACTTAGAGGGGTTTTTCTTATATTATTCAACTAGTGGCTTGTGCACAGCCTGTTTCTCATTTTGAGCTGTAAAAAGCCCTGTTGATATACCACATGCCATCATTTTTCAATTCTGAAATATAAAGTTGTCCCTCTTTCTGCAGTGGTCAAAATGCATGGCAAACACTAATTGCTTATGATGCATGCATTCGTCTTTGCCTGAATGCCTGGGCTAGAGGCTGCCCAGAAGCACCTGAGTTCCTACGTGATGAATGCCTGGTTCTCCGAAGTGCCTTTGGGTAAGCTTCCTTTGATTATACAATCATTCAGCTTTTGTTACCAGTGTGCTCTTCTCTTCATGTTGAATGCTATTCCTGGACTCAAGGGGACATATCTATGTCTCATTAAATAGGCTACACAAGCTTTTATTACAACCTCGAGGTGTCCAATCAATGGGAAGGAAGGATACTACATGTACAGAACAAGCATGCACTTTGAAAGTGAAAAAAGTAGTTGGAAAAATTAGAGTTGAAGGTATGCTCTGAACTAGATGGATTTTGAAATGTTCATACATGCTCTGAGTAATGTAGAAAGGCAAGGAGCTTTACGTCAACTTGCAACTCTAACAAACTTCTTGAAACTATTTATACCCATAAGATGATTATGGATCTGAGTGTTGTAATAACTATATCAAGGAGAACCCCATTCATGTATAAATATCTGCCACCTAAAATGATGATATATAACTTTATGTCAGTGAAAAAGCTCCGCATAATACCAAGGCGAAAACTCAAGAGTGCATACTCACAGCGAAGTGCAATCTATATGCAAGTAGGAGCTGAATATGTCCGACATGTTTCGTCACTTGTGAAAAGCAGCATCAATGCTATTAGAACTGCATCACTTTCAGTGGCATGTGAAGGTTTGTGGTTCTTGAAAGTTGGAAAACTTGCCTTTTTTCTTTCTTAAAATTTTTGGCCTCATTTTCATGTCTACTTTGCACTGATCACACATGGATCAATCAAGAATACTTCGATAAGCATTGGAAGTAGTACCTTTAAAAGGATGAAATTATTATGACTAATTTAGCAGAACAGGTAGCAAAATAGATGTGAGAACAAGCAGAAGTTTCTTGGTAGACCTCAATTAGATGTAAACTGTGAACTAATAATTCATCTTTGGGCAACATCTTTTTGAAGGGATTCCAACTATATATCTGTGAGCTATCTTCATCCATCACTTGCATATTGAATTTTTAACAAATGTGCTTTGAGCAGCATCATAACTTGTTTTCCCATCTGAATTACGTAGATCATTGGAAATCTGCTTTGTGTTTGCAGAGAGACTGATATGCCTATTCCATCTGAAGAGTTCTGCAGAAGATAGTCAAGTTGAATCAGGTTCTGCTATTTGCTTGCAGCCAGGAACTGGCGATTGCCATGAATTGTGAGTGGTTGCTTCAATTTTGTTACAGATTGATGTTCTTTGCTTCAAAAGCTCCAACTTTTGATCTGATTGAGAAATATTTATAATTTGTTTTAATGATGAAATAAAAGTGGAGTGCACAATGTAGTGGGATAAACCAATTATGTGTATAGTCTTTTCTATGTTGGTGCTCTCATGAAGTAATTACACGTTGCTAGAAGTTATAGGCAGTCAAGTTGAACCATGGTGAGTGTGGGTGCTTACAGAATGAATGGCTGATTCCATCTTGTGTGAGTTAATTTGATGGCTTTTAATAAGATATACTAGGCGTCTTTGTGAAATGTTTGCTGACAGATGATTTCAGTAACATTAGTAGAAGTGTATTCTGTGAGCTGGGGTGCATGACCTAACTTAACCAGCTATCCAGATTGAGGTTGCATTATGTTGGAGATATGTTAACCATTAAGGAAGATCTAACTATGTGCATTTAATTTCAGCTTTCCAGAGAATCAATCAGATGCTCTTATACTAGAAGTGCAGGATGCCAAGAAAACCATCCAAGGTCGAGCTATAATTCCAATCACATCCTTGATTGATAATCCTGTATGTATCATTTCTACATATTCTAATAGCTTTTGTGAATTTGATGTGATTTATTATCTAATCTGGCTATGCAACGATGCAGAATGATAGGATTCGTTGGTGGCCTATTTACCATGATGACAATGAATGCATTGGAAAGATCCAGCTCTTCATTGGTAGCACAATTACGTGTGATGAGAATGCACAAATCAAGGTTTAAATATTCTAACTGCACTCAGTTTAGAAAAGCCATATAGCCAACTAGTTGGTGTCACAATTACGTGTGATGCGAATGCACAAATCAAGGTTTAAATATTCTAACTGCACTCAGTTTAGAAAAGCCATATAGCCAACTAGTTGGTGTCACCTTTCCTTTTGCTTGAAAACTGGCTAAATCAGATATGGCAGGGAGAAATAACTAACCTCAAGAGGAAGTAATTTTGTTTTCACACAGAATTACTTAGTTATATAATGGTGAAAGGGCAGCCTCGATTGTTGTGTGTATATGAATCATATATACGAGGTCTTCAAATTAAGCTCACTAGTTATGAGGACTTTGAAATTCAACATGCCAGCCATAGACACTTAGGCCTTCAAAGAATTTATTGGCATCCTCCAAAAAGTAGCTGTTCACCATTTTACTGGCTTATGCCTAATCATGAAATCATTGACCTACTTAGACTTCAAATTTGGTACTGAGGCAGATCAAGGTGCAGCATCTGTACTTGATAATTCAACTTTATATATTCAAACACAAGAATTCTTTGGCCGGTGAAGATAATGATATTTATGCATTACATACATCAGAAATTGGTTCTTAATATGCCAGTATGAAAATTTTCTTTCTCAGGTTATATTTGTCTTTTGGTTGCATATGAGTAAATGTCCAAGATGTAAAGAGTAGAGAATCTCATGTTTTGTTTAATTCCAATATATTTGTATTCTTATAATTCTACTTCAACGCTACAGAGTGGGCCTATCGTGGAAACTCTTGCGTATGATTTATTGCTAGAGGCAGCCATGCGTGGACAGCACTTCCATGCTCGAAATTTAAGGCTAGATGGGCCATGGAAATGGCTGTTGAGTCAGTTTGCTGACTACTATGGAGTATCAGATTCATATACTAAGCTAAGGTACTTGAACATTGACTTCTGCAAAAATGATAAGCATTCAGACGTTCCCTGCAAAATTTTCATTTGGCCTTTGTGCTTCTGCAGATATCTCTCATATGTCATGAATGTGGCAACTCCTACAAAAGATTGCTTAGAGCTTGTCTATGAGTTGCTCCTCCCTGTTATGAAGGTCAGGACCGAGAAAAGCCTAACTAGACAAGAGGTGAGTCTTTTCAGACCCATACTTACATCCATAGTTTTCTTCATCACTTAAAACTGATGCTGGAACTTGTTTATTCCTATGTGTGAGCAGTTTCTCACGTGTAAATCCTATGAATATAACTTAAGCCTCTTAAAATGCCTAACTTTTACCGTTGCATGCTTCTTATTGGCATTTTTCACTTTGCAAGAAGCTACTTGAAAGTGTAAGTGTAAGGCTGTCAGATAACTATAAAGTTGGACATTACATTTCAGTTCATCTGCAGTTGTATAGACTTCTATACATATTTATGCTACCCCATTTCAGCCCTTGGTATTAACCAAAATTGATGCTATTATCAGGATTAAAGACATGGATTGGCTAGAGGATGCAACACAAAATCTTGCTTGTGTAGTTATTTGAGTGTTGGAGAAGTGTCAATGTCAAAAGAGGATAGATGTTTTTGGTGGATGTGTCTGTAATTGTTCTACTGAGTAGGAGAGAATGTAATGAAACCTCTTGTAAGAATACTAAGTTATATTATTGGTGGGTGGTTGATGCAGTTTATAGAAAGCTTTTATGAGAATTCCCCGGTTTTTTGTTGTTGCTGTGTTTGCTTTGGCTTATATACTGTCATTTTGCTTTTCAAAGCAAACTAATGAACCACCTTGTTTTGGAGCAAAAGTTTTCTAGCATCTGTATTGCCCAAGAAAACACAAAGCAAACTGCGCCAGCCACTTTATGAATATCTCTCTGCACACCCCCCACCCCCTAAGAAATTCATAATCACAAAGAACCATATGATTAATCTAATTTTGTCAGTTGATTTTGTCGCAATATTTCTTGGTAGTATTGTTTTCTCTCTCTCTCTCTCTCTCTCTCTGCACATAATTCTGTTTTTCTTATTTTAGCTCTTTACTATGACATACTTTGGCTTGTTCTCCTGCAGAAAAGTATACTGTTGGAGTGTGAAACTCAAGTTGAGAGCCTCTTAGCAACTGTTTTTCAGAACTACAAATCATTGGATGAAAACTCTTCAACAGGTTTGACAGATGTGTTTGGTTCAATACCCGAAGTTGCTGCCCCAGCTTTAGCACCTGCAGTGACAGTATACACTCTTCTTCATGATATACTTGCTCAAGATGCACAGGCAACGTTAAGAAACTATCTTCAGGTCAGCCATATTTACCATTGCTTAAGAAATAACTTGCTCCTTAAATAAGTTTATGCAAGGCATGGTCCAAGAATCCAATCTGCCATCAGCGAAAGAGCAGGCAGACTGAAATCATGCCAATATGTTCCTTCAATCTGTGCAATTTAATTCAGGGAAATCAGAAAAATTAGATCATATAAAAGATGAACTATGCTAGCAGATAAAATTTTGCCAGTATGTTTCCTGAACTTCATTCCCCCAGAGCAAGTTTTAGATACAACGGAAAATATACTTCCTGGCTAGTGACTTCCAAACAAGATTATCAGCTTTATCTGCTATATCTAGTTATATATGATCTAAGCTTCAATTAAACCAAGTAGCATTGGTATGCAGACAGCAGCAGCAAAGAGATGCCGGAACCACATGGTTGAGACTGATGAGTTTATGTCGTGTAACTCTGAGGGCTTTCTTATGGATTCAATTACAATCTCCACAGCATATTTGAAGATGAAGAACCTCTGTATGAACATAAGTAATGAAATCCAGGCAGACATTAAGATCCACAACCAGCATATTCTCCAAGGTAGGTAGTTCTCTTCACATAATGAACTTTTTGTTCAAAAGTACTAAATTTGAATCTATCAATTTCTTGAGGGGATATCCTTCTGATTCATGCAAGCTGTAACACAGCAACCATCTAAATTTCTGAAAGAAGAAAAAAGACTATTAGCTTCATCTATCTTATGCAAAATTGGACAATAATTTTAGAAAAACCTTTACAGACTATTTAGAAAGCCAATTTGTGTACAGATTGATTACATGTTCTGATAAAGGTTTATATGTATTCATTTCTCAAGCCAATATATCATATTCTGACGACATTTCCTCTTTTGCAGTTCAATAGACCTATCAAATATCACAGCAGCAGTCTACAGCATTGAGTTGTGCAAGAGGCTCAGAGGTTTTCTTGCTGCATGGCCTCCATCTAGGCCCCTGTCACATGTTAATGAGCTTCTTATAGCAACTGCTGATTTTGAAAGGAATCTTGAATCATGGAACATCAGGTTTGATAAAATTTTAGCAACATTTGTTCTCCAACATAAAAGTTTTGAACTCCCCTTCTCAAAATTTTAAGCTTCCTTCCTCACACTTTGTACTCTCCAGTCCAGTGCAAGGTGGTGTAGACTCAAGGAATTTGTACCATGATTACATAATAGTTTGGGTACAGGATATGCAACTCAATTTGCTAGAGCTTTGCAAGGCAGAGAAGGTATCTACCTTTATCCCATTTGTACTGTTCCCCTCCTGCTGAAGTAGAAGCCAATTCTATGCATTATGTTTCATTATAACTCTTTCTATCCATAAATCACAATGGATTAACTTTCTGGCTTGAATCTGTATATTCTACAGGTGCCATGGTCGGGAGTGCTCACAAATCATTCTATCTCACCATTTGCTGAGGAAATGTATGAAAAAATCAAAGAAGTGCTTGTTGAGTATGAAGTAGTGATGAATAGATGGCCTCAATATTCATTGCTTTTGGAGAATGTAAGTTGCCATATAAACTGGCACAATTTCACATGCATACATGCATTTTACAAATTCCAGAAATACAAAAACATGTGCATATTGTTAGCTCTCATAAATACATCTGCTGATTTGTCATTTTCTGACTCTTTTGAAAGTGAATTTCTGATTTTTAGGCTGTAGCCAATGTGGAAAGAGCAATCATAAAAGCACTGGAAAAGCAGTACAATGATATCTTGACTCCTTTGAAAGACAGCATCCCAAAAAGGCTTGGGATGCAAGTTCAAAAACTAACCGGAAGACAGTCAACTGCCCTTTACACTGTTCCTAGTCAAGTAAGTGCCAAAAAATCCATAGTATATCAGTTCCAATGTTATAAGATCTTGCCACCAGTTGATATTTGTTGGCTACAAGCGGCTGCTTCTGCCTGAATTAAGCTAAAGTCCATTTTGACCAAAGAGTGTACTTGACCCGACAGTAGAAATTGGGAAAACTGTCCATATCATCTATCATGAATCAAGCTGGAAATCTACATGAATGGCTACGAAAATTATTTTCAAAAATTAGTTCTCTCATGAGGGAAAGGGCCAAGCCAGTTCTGACACAGTTTAGATCATGCTCAGGAATGTCGCCACTGATTCTCCTTCTAATAGTGGGTTTTTTTTTTTTTTTTCCCCCTCTTTTCATGTTGTGTGGCAGTTGGGAACTTTTTTGAACACCATCAAGAGAATTCTTGATGCTTCACACTGCAAGGTTGAAGACATTTTGAAGTCTTGGGCGGCCTATCTACCTGTAATTGGTGGTGACAAGAAGTTGATTTTTGGAGAGCAGATGAATGCAATAACAGTTTTATTGAGAACAAAATACAAAAATTATATGCAGGCAACAGTAGTGAAGCTCGTGAACAATGTAAGCACTACCTTTGCTCTCTGTCTCTCTTTCTTACATGCAAAAACAGAGCATATGATAACCACAAGTTTCATTATCTCTGCACTCAGCTCTTATTCTATGTAAGTGCATATTTCTGTAAGCTACAATTTAAAAGCAGCAGAAACTATTAGCTTACTGCCTCATAATTTCAAGCTAAGGAAGACAAAAGTTTGTACGACTTTGACAGTTAGGTAAATTTACCTATTCATGTACTTCGGTATATGTATATGACCTTAAGTACATGCTTAACTACAATTATCTGAACAAATACCCATCATGAATATTGAAACAGTTTCATTTTTATGACCTTAAGTACATTGCATGACATCAAGATTACTGCAGTTAAATTATTTGTGAATTATTGTTTCAGATGCAAGCTAATAGGAGCACACGCCTCAAAAGGATTCTAGAAGAAACAAAGGAAGCAGATGGAGAGGGTGAGGTCCGTGAAAGAATGCAAATCCTAAGTTCACAACTGATTGACTCTATATCAAACCTGCATGAGGTCTTCACCAGTCGAATATTTATTGCAACATGTCGTGGATTTTGGGACAGAATGGGCCAGGTAAAGAAACTTACACTTTGTTTTGTAGAAGGCTTTGTTCACTTCTGATATATTATGCATTTTACTAGATTGTGCTGAAATTTCTGGAAGGAAGAAAAGAAAACCGAGTCTGGTACAGTGGCTCTTATCATGCTCTTGGGGTATGTATCAATTTTAAGTTAAGCTTCCGTGGGTGTTTGTAATTAGGTATTATTACTTACTCATCAAAACCTGTCAAATCTCCACACTCGACCTTTTAAGCATGACTAGCTCTACCTACCTGTTTTAACACTTCAGTTCAGTTCTAACCCAAGCCCCTGAATGTTTATAACCTGAGCATTATTATTCTAATGATAAATATATATTCTAAAAAAAGGGGGGAAAAAGGCTCTACCCACAAATGAAAATTGCTGATTATAATTCACCTCATCTTTTGCATTGCAGGTTCTGGATGACATTTTTGCTTCCCAGATGCAGCGTTTTCAAGGAAACGCCCTCCAAGAGAAAGATCTGGAGCCCCCTCGTTCAATCGTGGAAGCACGCTCTATACTGTGTAGGGATACAACCAATGCCGCGGACACATCTACTTACTTATATTTCTAGGGCTGCTTCTTCTTGTCTGTCCGGTGCCATAATTTATATACCATTGTCGATACACATGCTTGACACCTGCCATGTATCATGAGTATGTAGTTTGTAATCTAATATTATTGATTCTTTGTGTAATATGTCAATTCTTTATGTAGTAGATTTTTTAATATCAATAAAAGCTATCAGTTTTGCCGAAAGGGTATTTCATTCATGCCTTGTTTTGTCAAGCTATGCTCTCTTGAAAAAGCTATTTCTTGTCTCTTTTTACTGATAAATTGGAGATTCTCAGTGGCGTTAAGAGTTGTTTTTTCTTCCATCAAAACCTTTTTACATCTTTCTTTTTCCCCTTCTATTAGGAATGCATTTGTGGGCAAGACATACCAGAGACATGGGATACAAAATGAGAAAGCAATAGTGTCATATGTGACGAATGCATTTACGGTTAAGACATATGGGGGATATCGAATACAAAATAAAGAAGTCAATTGCACTAAAAATAGGAAGGAAGACAAATTATAATTTGTTTTTAATTAGAAGAGTTTATCTTAATAAGTATTTTCATTACAATTAAAAGTCTTTAATTTTATTTCTTAATTTTAATTTTCTTATTGTTCAAAAATAACTTCCTTTGTAATATTTATATAAGAGAACAATTGAGAAAGAATAAAATAAGTAAAATTTTATTCAAATTTATAGAGTTTCAAGACTCTCTCTAAAGAGTCTAAGGTTAGAAATTCATTTAAACAAATTCTATATATAAATAATTTTAGATTCTTTACGAGGCAAGAATTGTAATAAAGAAAAAATTACATCCATAAAAGCAGATTTCCTATGCATTATCCTGTGACTCAATCCATGACTCGTGAAAATAACAACTTGGTATCAAACCCAAAACACTATGGGCAATTTCAACATAACAAAAGAATTTAGGGCTCTTTTACAGGGAGCTTAGGCAATTAACAAAGCAAGAGTGGCAAAAGCTAAGTCACAAATGGAAGGAAGAATTTCATAAATCGAGTCTAAACTGGGAACTTAACTACAGCAACTATCGTTGCAACTGTAGTGTCATGGCCCCCAACCTAAGCCCGTGACTAGCACTAGGGTCCTCGACTCTAGTCAGTCTTACAACCATAAAACATACTAAAAACCAACCAAAACATATATACACATCTCCTAAACTGTTCACGCACAAAGCTAGAATCTTGTTTGAGTAATAAAGGGAGCACTAGAGTACAAACAAGAAAAGAAAACAAGAGAACATGCCCGTACATCAAGTCTGTAAATGACTGCTCTGACTCTGGCATGCTACCCAAGAAGTGAGTTACAAAACTCAATGAGTACAGATGATACCTAGTCTATGCATGTGGGGATATGCATCACACCACTAGTCCCAAAACCACACATATACATACAAATACATAATGACCAATACCAACATCAAACACACATATGTGAGAGTACAATGATCATTGAGACTCTAGCCTCGATTAGAGGAATTCTTCATCTCACGATTAGGCCCAACACAATCACATACCACGCTCCCAGTCGAAAGGCATCCTTTATCTCACGACCGAAGCCACACGCCCACCAGATAACCATACCACGCTCTTGGTTGAGAGGCATCCTCTATCTCATGACTAGAGCCAACGGTCTCAGTGCATCACCTGACTTTCCGCATATCACTTCACAAAACATTCATATGCAAAAATATAGCAATCACTAAGACTGCAACAAAACTATAAACACACTCCTCAGAGCAATATGCCCACCAAGGGTACTACCAACATGCTCCTGGTTGAGAGGCATCCTCCATTTCACAACCGGAGCAAAACGATCTCAATGTATCACCGACTCCTCACATATCTAACCCCACAGATACACAACATAAACAATCCACAAATCTCAAAACCAGTCTCACATACCAACATGATTCACTAAATAGAAATGAAACACATAACACATATCTCAAGGTTTAAGTAACAAAATATAGTTTGCAAAATCCATGCAGTCATTATGCTAAGAAAACATGTATGAAAACACTTGGATAGAAAGGGTATCATCACTCACAGTACAAGCCAAGTCTAAAAGAAGTCTTAGGTCACCTTAACCAACTCAACGGTCTGGGTGCTCCTCCACAAGCGAATCTGAAACCAAAATCACACAAAACCATCACCAACCCTATCACCAGCATAAGGAACGGGCTTGACAGCCCAAAATTGGGCTCAAATCCCATCCCCGCAACCCTAGCACGCACCTAGAGGCACCACTACCCATCTTCGATATCCACATGACTCATTAACACTCAACACTTCACCCCAATAGTCCTCAACAATAAAGAACCAGCCCCCATAATCCTTCAAATCATAGCGAACCGGCCTCCAAAACCCCCGAACCAACCTAAATCAGTTTAAAACTATACCAAGCCAAACTGAACCAGTCATAAAACCCTCAAAATCGGATTCAGAAGGCCCAAAAATCTTAAGAACTGCCCTGAACTGGCCAAAAGCCCCTTAAACCGACCTCAAACCGGGCCAAAAACTTAATCCTAAGTATCGACACACTGAATCGAGCCCTGTTTACCTTGAACCACTCACCCAAAAATCACCAAACCACGGGGCTAGCTAGGTTTCATCATGTTGAACCAGGAATTGGTTCAACTTTCTCAAGAACCAGCCTGAAAACTCGTGAACCAGCTGCCCAAAGGGTGCCACACTAAATTGGTCGGTTCACCTTGAACCAGCCACCCAAAATTTTTCAAACCCCATCTGGTTGATAGCCCTCGCTCTGCTAGACCGGAAACCAGTCTATTTGCCCAAAGAACCGGTTGAAAAAGCCTCGAACTGATCGATCAAACCTTCGTCAACCCTGACCAGTTCACCTACTAAAACCCTAACCCTTAATATTTTATTTATAAATTTCAGGTTATTCAATCATTCCTATCCCAAAACAATTCTTATCCCTGGTTTAATTTCTTCCTAGAATAACATGTCCCTATTTAACCCCTGGGTTGACTCATTGATCAACCTAGATAATTCACACAGTGAGCTGAGTCAACTCGCAAGTTGACTTAGCCCAAACTGGCACATAAAGCTGGCCCACAAGCCACGGCCTAGCCTGGCTAGATCCGGGCCTAAACAGGCCCAGCCCAAACTTGCACGAACCCGGTTTCATCCGGGTCCGTCGTCTCTACCCGGTTTCCCAACCCGGAACCAGTCACGGATCTGCAATGTGACTTAGAAGATTAAAACTCGAAAAACAACAAAAAATGAGTCTTACCTCGATCGATTAACAACCTAGAACTACAGAATTAACCCTCGACGATCCTCACGAAGGCCTTTAATTTGAGCAGTTTCAACTGAAACACCTAAGATTTCCCAGAAAATTTTGTCTGATGCTGACAGCTGTCCCCTGCTCCCTTTCCCTCTTTAACTCAGTCCAAATTTCAAATTAAACACACCCTCTAGCTCGTTTCTCCTTTTCACGCAATTCCTCATAACTTTGGGTGAGTTGCCATGGTCCTATTGGAGCAATTTTGCTTCGAGGACCTTCAACCAGGTTTTGGCCGAAAGTCCTCCCTTCTGTCCCACTCCAGCCCACCCAATTTTCATTTTCTTCAAATGACTCCCCGTAAATTTCATATTGATCCCCCAACTCATCCTTGTTTTACACAAACACCCCCAGTTCTTTTAATTTATTCCAAAATGCCCCTAAGCCTTTTTAATTAAAATTTTCCCAGAATTATAAAAAAATCTAGGATCATTACATTCTCCCCCCTTACAAAAATTCTTCCTTGAATTTTGAAATACGGGAAATAGGTAGAACAGAAATCAGCAATGCATAAGCCCCCAAGTAGCATACTATAATCATACCTATGAGTGCTGCATTGGACGTCTCAGCATCCTGTCGAGTCAAAGCATATATTCGGGCCCGCCCTTGACCCTGGCTTCTACCACCTGTCCCCTGACCACGTGAACCTAACGGCTCCACACCCGCTTGCCCTTTAGTCTACGATGGGGTGCCTGCTGGTAACATCGCCCCTGGTGATCGCAGGCAATACCTCGCTATATGTCTTGACTGTCCACAACTATAACAAACTCCTATCGCTCGGCCAACCTCCTGCAAGCAGTCTCTAGCCAAGTGCCCCTGTAGGCCACATCAATAACAAATCCCTGAAGCTCGGGTGGCCTCTTGAAAGGACGTGCAATCCCTAGCCACATGGCATTGCTGGCCACATCTAAAACATACTCCTGTCATTCTAGGGCACTGGCCTGAATGTATGCGGCTGCATCAACACAACTAAGAGTGGAAGATGTACGACTATCAGACAAGGCTACACTGCTTGATGGTTGTCTGCTGGTGGATCCATTATGCAATGGATGCTAATGACTATGATAAGAGGATCCCTTCCTAAAACTAAAACTGCCACTGTAAGAACCCTTAGTCTTTGCCCTCTTCCCCAACCCCTCTAAAGTCTACCCAGGCACCCTAGAGCCTCCAAAAATCGAGCACTGTCTACTGCATAAGCATAACTAATACGCCCTACCTGCAACCCCAATGCCTAGAATAGAGAAGGAGATACTCCCCGGATAAACCTCGTAGCTCACGCAATATCGTTGGTGACAAGTCCAATAGCGTATCGGGATAACCGTGTGAATCACTCCTTATACTTGGAAACTGTCATACTCGGAGTCTATACTAAACCTCTCGAACTCGGTAGCCAACTCTACCCGCCAGCTAGTAGGTAGGAATCTCTCTAAAAACTCCTTGCGAAACTTCTCTTAGGCCAGAGGAGCCGTACCAACCAGTCTAATACCCAATAACTGGTCATACCACGCCTTGCCCATTACTCTGAGTCTAAAGGTAGCCAAATCCATGCGTCTAAGGTCAGAGACTATAAAACCTGAAATATGCCATCCAGAGCATCCAAGAACTCATGGGGATCCTCCATCGTGATCAATCTAGAAAAAGTAGGAGGATCCAGCCTCAGAAAATCTCAAAAATATCCGTCAAAG